CACACACACACACACACACACACACACACACACACACACACACACACCACTGTACTTCTCGATCACCTTTACTGAAATCTTAACTAGCACAGGGTGATCGTGTTGTGCAAATGCTGGTCAATGAGTAATTAGAACTATAAACTGAATTGGTTTTATCTCTACTTCAGAAGATTATTTCAGCAAGAAGAAATACATGTGAGAAACAAGATGTCTCTTGCTGAGAGACCTCACCGTGATAAGCAACACCGATATTATGAGAGTCACGGATCTGACAGACACCATGAGGAGAGAAGGGCTAAAAAGCCACACCCATCCAATGGAAGGTATGTCTCCTTTGTCCCTCACTATGGAGTGCGGAGCTTGTTTGTGTTTTTACATTCATGTTGTGGTTATTACAATACCAGGAAAGACATATTCAGCTTTGAAATTCAGAAATGTGAATATGCCACATTCAGAACTGTGGTGGAGTTATTTTGCTATTGGAAGTTTTAAAGAGTCTAATTAAACATTCTTTGTACTAAAGAACTACATTGAGGAAGACTAGGTCACGTGGGCTGGGAGGATAGGAAGGAGGTGAGGCTGAGTCATGGAGGTGGAGAAGGAAGAGGGGAGGAGCTGAGTTGTGGGCATGAGGAGATGTGGCTGGGTCATATGACCAAGGAGGGGTTATGTCCTGGTCTTCCCAGAGGTGACAGTTGGTGCAGGCTTGTCTACATGCAGAGTTGCACTGGTTTAACTGAAGATGCCATTTAGCTGAACAGATGCTAAGGCTGAATGAACACTTTTTTCAACTAGGAACAGGTTTAAGCTAAACCAAAATAAACTGGTGTAAATACATGTGGTCACTCTTTAGTAAAGCAGTGTTAGTGTGTCAGCAAGGTCTCGGTGTCTGGGGTAGATGTGGTGCAACATGTGAAGCAGCTAATGGTAGGGTTACAAACTTTCTGATTGCAGAAAACTGAACACCCTTCCCCTGTCCCCTGCTCACTCCGTCCTCCACTCCCTCCCCACCCCTTGCTCACTGACTCATTTTCACCAGGCTGTGGCAGAGGGTTGGGTTGTGGGCTCCTGCTGGGAGTGCAGGCTCTAGGGTGGGGCCAGGGGCTTGGGGTGCAGGAGGGGGCTCTGGTCTGGGGTACAGGATGGGGTGAGGGGTGTGGGCATGTCTCTGTGGCTCCTAGGCAGAGGGACCGCCAGGGGGCTCTGAATTGCCCTCACCTGCAGGCGCTGCCCCCAGAGCTCCCATTGGCCTCAGTTCCCAGCCAATGGGAGTTGTGGACCTGGTGCTTGGGGTGGGGGCAGCACACAGAGCCTCCCCAGCCACCCCTGCGCCTAGGGGCCACAGGGACGTGTTGGCCGCTTCCGGGAGCCACACAGAGCCAGGGCAGACAGGGAGCCTGCCTTAGCCCCGCTGTGCTGCCACCCAGACTTTTAACAGCCCGGTCAGTGGTGCTGACCGGCATCACCAGGGTCCCTTTTTGACCCAGCATTCTGGTAAAAAACTGGACGCCTGCCAACCTTAGCTAATGGAGAGGTTTGGGGTGGCTTCAGAAACTGACATGTGTTTTGCTCTCCCTGTCCAGCCTAGACCATACTGGGATGCAGCATGGCTTGATTGACTGCATTTGAGAGAGGAGGAGACAATGAATTTTCAGGACAATTAATAAAATGGGGAGGATGCAGGGGAGCAGAACGAATGTAATTATGATTTTAAAAGGCTGAAATACTGAAGTCCTTAAAATCTATATTTAAGAGGGAGGGGAAAAAATATTCCAACAAGACAATCCCTGTAACTAATGGTAAAGAGCAGAGTAGAGAATACAGGGAAATCTTAAAAATAATCACCTGGTCCAGCTGATGTGAATTTTAGGGTATTAAGAAAATTTGCTGATACTGTACCACTGACAATTTTTGAAAGGATATGGAAAATTGGGAAGGAAACAGTTTTCATCTATAAAGCAAAATACTTTGATACAAAGTGACATTTCATTGCATCATGGGGATTGTAGTTTTGATGCCTAGTGATCCCACTCTTCTCTATGGGTTTCGCTTTCTGGCCAGTCTATATTTCTGACGATGCCCCATGGCCATAGACTCCTGTAAACACACCACCTCCCCTCACCAAGATGGGAGAAAGTGTTGCGTCATCGAACATGTAGTCCAGACTGAGAGTCCAACCCCCAGAGGAGAATGGGAGCACAGTGGCCAGGAAAAGAAAGTTTTGTAATTTTCTAGCAGTATCAGAAAAAGGCCATACAGACGCTCCCTGACTTATGCAAGTGTTCCATTCCGGAACACCTTGCGTAACTCGGGAACATATACCCGACCATTACACCAAAAAAAAAAAGAACCCCACAAATTTTTAGCTTACGGAACTTTTTCCGTAAGTGCAGATTTGCGTAACCCGGGGAGCGTTTGTATTTTGTTTGGAACTTGTATCATACTCTTTTTTTGAACATCAACATTCTTGGCAAGTAGCACAGTACAATAGGGAGAAGCAGCTGCATCAAGAGTATTAAAGGGATTGATTTCGAGTTAGCTGAAAGATTTTATAAATCACAGTTTAGTTTGTCAGGCAGCTCCAAGACCCAGGACAAAAGTCAGAAAAATGTTGATTAAAGTTAAAGAACTAGAGAGAAAAATCACTTAATTCTCTATAGAGTGAGGATGCTTTTGCTTACACACCCAGGTTAACTATTTGTGGATTATGTTAAATTCATGGAGTTGGAGGAGGACAGAGAAATGCAAAAGAACCTAGAGATCAGAAAATGAAACTAAATTCAGTTGAGAAAAATGCAGGCTAATAGACCTGTGGATAAGTAATCTCAGACAGATGTTCAATTGGAACGAGAAATTTTAAAGTAATAATGCTGAAGGAAATGTAAGAGTGATAAGACACCATATTAGACATGCTCTCTTCTATACAGTTTCTTACTCCATCCTCAAACTATAGAGATGGAGAGCCTTTTAGTCGTGCACTGAAATATGTGTAACATCTGTCACATGCAGTCCATTCTCTCATCCTCCTCTGAGGGAAAACTGTGTTTTAGTTGTAGGGCAGCTTTGTGTTTTGGTTTGATAGGGCTTTTACGTTCACGCTGCTATGTCTGTATGTTAGAGAACGCAGATTAGAGAAGCATGCTTTGCACTTGGAGCAGAAAATGTGAGGCTTGTGATGATCCTTAGTTCCTATAGGGATTTGTTCTACAGTTTCAAACCTGCCCCCAAGAAAGCTCTCTCCTGCACAGATACATTTTCTCTCCCCCCCCCCACCCTTGTGATAGAAAGTTCTGTTGTGACTGAGGGGAGGAGTTGACCACTGTCCTCATACCAGAGCTTCAGGAAATCTTTTAGCTCTCCTGGGTCCAAGCCATTTTGATCCTTGAACATAAAGAACTAAGACCTGGAACTTGCTATTCTATGGGAATAGTGGCGGACGGGTGTATTAATAATAGTTTGTTACTAAGGAGATGTGCTGCAATGTTCTGTACTAGGTGGACTAAACTAAGAACTGATGGTTTCGTGCCCCAGCATATTGCATTGCTGTAGTCCAACTGAGGAAATGAAGGTATGCTTAACTAAAGTCAGGCCATTATCTGCCAGGATGAGATAATAGTTTCCTAATCCACCATAAATGGTAGAAAATTCATAGATGAGTTTACAGTATGATAAGGCAACAAAATGGCCAGTTCAATTTTGGATATCCAAGCAGAAAGGCAATAATTATACACACTGACACTGGTGCTACCACAGCTGGAATATTGCATTCATTGCTGTAGTACTGCATCACCAGAAAGATATTCTTAAACTGGAAGGGAGTTCAGAGAAAGGGGGAGAGACTAGATTGTACCAGATCTTGTAAAATTCTAAAAAGGAGAAAGAGTAGATGCAATGTTACTGTCATGAAATATTTTATATTCTGGTTTTAATTCCATGCTTTTGTATTCTTGTAAAAGAATCATTGTGAAATGCAGAAAATTTTCAAATATGCATGAGATATATTGCTTATCCACAAATTGGTGGTGATTATTTACAGATTTATTTGTTATGTGCAACGGTTACAGAAAACTTTAGCCTCTGGTTTGTCCATGGGCTGGTAGTGGAATATTTGCTTTTCATGGCAGATGAGTGATCACTGGGTACATGGTATTTATAAACAAGAGTTCCACCCACTCACACTTTTTTTTTTTTTTTTTGCAAATTACACAAAAGAATTAGCAATAGTTGAATGGACTTATGTAAATAATTAAAGTTTTTCAAAATCGCTGTGATATTCACAAAACATTGTGAATATTTATTCATGCAAGCAGGTGATAGATTTGCTTTTCATGAACATTCTTGCAAACAGATCTCATTTGACCAAATGTCTGCAAACGAAAGGGATCACACATACCAGTGAAGCAAGTCAGTTAGCAAAAATTCCAGAAACTAATACTGTTTTGGTGCACTTGTCCAAAAAATATTAGACTGTGCTGTCTCCTATAGATAATCCTTTACTCCTACCCCATTTGCAGGTCAACACAAGGGATTCCTGGCAACCAACACTCAAGACCTTCTAGTGCGAATTCAGACCTGTACCAAAAAAACAAACTTCCAACTCATGGATATGTCAATTCTCCACCAAATTATGATCCCGAGAAAGAGACCTTTTCAGAGAAATGTAATAACCTATGCTCAAGGAGAGGTATGTGGATTTTTATTTGGCCTTACCATCCATGTGTCGCTTCACAGATTTGTGTCTTTATGAATCAGGATGTGTGATTGAAACAAACACAAAAAAATCAGGCTAAGAGACAAAAGAGGGAGGGGACTGACTAACAATGTCCAGGGAGACTAATTCATGAATGGCATAGCTACGATTCAGTTATTGTTCTTATTAAATGTCTATGGGCCAGATTTACAAAGGTATGCCTGAAGATGCAAATAGGTGCTTTTGTGAATCTGACTAGGAGCCTGAGTTAGGCACCAAACTCCCACTTACTTTCAATGGGACTTAGGCCTCTAGGCTGCTTAGATGCTTTTGTAAATTCCTCACAGCACCTATTTGCATTTTTAGGCCCCTAAGTCTTTATATGCCACCTTAAAACATGGAATTTTGCATTAAGGAATCACTGTGAATCATTGGGCCCAAGATAGAAAGCCAGAGCAAGTATGGGTGACTGTACAGCCTGGTGATTATTGCACTCACCTGGGAGACCCTGGGTCCAGGCCCCCTGCTCCAGTGACTTAAGTATTTATCCGCAGTGGAACAGCTTCAACAGGAAAGCTTGAGGGAGCCCCACCTCTGGAGAATCTTATAGCACAGTGGTCAGGGCACTCACCTTCTCCCCTCAGGTGGGGTGGGGGGATTTGAACCGGGGGTTTCCCACATTCCACTTGAGTACTCTCACCGTAGGCCAAAAGTTGTGAGGGAGGGCCACTTTGTTTTCTTCTCCCCCTCGAGCTTCTCGAAAAAATGGTATTAGGTGCCTAACACCAAGACAGGTTTTGCAGCTGAGAATCCCAAGCAGAGCTAGGCACCTCCCTGCAACCAGGACTTCGGTGCCTGTCTTCAAAAGGGGTTGGCCTTAGTGCGCGCACACACACACACACCCCTACCTTACCTTGGCTCTCGTAGGCAAGGAGCCTCCCAGCATGCTGGCTTTTGTGAATCCCATTCAGAGGCACTCGAGTCTCCCCATTTGTTGTATAGGGAGCCTAGGAGCTGAACTCCGGTTCTGTGAATTCAGGGATTTTCCAGGTACCTAAGTTTCCTGATGAATCTAGCCATATACAGATTTAATGATGAAAAATACACACAGCTTGGACGGTCTGGAATAAGCCTCATCTCTCCTGTTCTTGTCAGACAAGCAAAACTGGTATCTTTCTATTTTACAATAGTCAGTTTCTCTCTGGGGATGTTGCTGCTCCCTTTGGACATTTTCTGTGGAATATCTAGAAACTGAGGTATCCTTACCACATGAATTACACCTCTACCCCGATATAACGCTGTCCTCAGGAGCCAAAAATCTTACCGCCTTATAGGTGAAACCGCGTTATATTGAACTTGCTTTGATCCACCGGAGTGCACAGCCCCGCCCCCCCCCCGGAGCGCTGCTTTACCGCGTTATATCCGAATTAGTGTTATATCGGGTTGCGTTATATCGGGGTAGAGGTGTAGCTCCACCATCACATGTTGAGACCCAGGAAATTAGCACCACACTATTGAACCCTCTTTTCTCTGATTCTGAAATAAGCACTGCTCAGACCAGAACAGGGAGCCAAATAACATCTTCTCCATGGCTGTTTCCTGAGCAACACCTGATGTGTGAATTGAGAGCTCCTGCTATCCTATTGTTTCACTTTCTACTCTCACCTTATTCCTCTTTGTCTTCTATTTTGTTTAGCCAGCCATGATAAGGCGAACCCTTGCACACTTGGCTTGCCAAACTGCTCACAGCAAAAAGATTCCCAAATGACCAGATCTCTCAATATCTTTGCCATGCTCAGACCAGACAGATGTTTTTCCCCTCAGAGCTAGGGTTGCCAACCCTCTAGGATTGCCCTGGAGTCTCCAGGAATTAAAGATTAATCTTAATTAACGATAATTTCATGTGACAAAACCTCCAGGAAATCATCCAACCAAAGTTGGCAACCTCACTCAGAGGCAGGGGATTAAAACAGGGGTCTAGAAGAGGCCAACTGGTTTGTGCTATAGCCTTCCAAAAACTGAACTGCAAGCACCAGAGAAAGGAACTGCATTTTTCCATCTCTTGCTGTCTCTCTCCTTGTGTGTTCATTGTTTAAAAAACAACAACCCAGTACTGGACTCAATAAAAGAAAGCTACCACCTAAAACTGACACTTTTCCCTAACATTTGATGCCACTTAGGTGTTCAGTTTTCTCTGTTTGAAGCACTCTATGGAGGGAGACAGAAGAAATAAGAAAAGTAGTTAAAACATCCTTAAATTCAATTTCTAACATGTGTAGGTGGGAGCAAGGCACACAAGATGATCCTCTTAAATTTAATTTCTCTCTCACCTGGTGGTTTTCTTATTGTCTTTTTTTTGCAGGATGGGGCTCTTCCTTTCCTTACACTTTTGTTTTTGGAAAAACAAGCCTTTTCCGATTACATTTTTATCTTTCACCCCGTAGTTCTCACACATTTTCAAGACTTATGGTTTGCAGTTACAGTAATTTTCCTGAACGAGATCATCCCTTTGACCTTTTCAAACCATCTTTATCTATTAGCCTCTTTCCAGCTGTCAAATGAAAAATATTGTGCAAAACAAATCTAATTCCAAAACAGTCTCTTAAAATTCAGAAATTATAAAAATTATTGCAGAGAAATACTGGTCCTTGTGATGCTAAAATGGTCCATACAGATATTGCATTATTTATCAAGACAAAACAATGCCTCTTCTACTTTATTAAAATATAAAACCTATCAGAGCAATGCATCTGTACCAAGAGCTGTTTCATTTTGCTTTTATTATTCTGTCAAGTACAATAGTCAAAATGTGAATTAATACAATTATATGACCAAACTATGGTAGCTAACTATATGCAGTTAATCATATTAATATTGAGTAAGGCAAAATCTATTACCTGTGTACCCCGTTCTTCCAATCAAGTTTACCTGCCTCAGTTTTAGATATCATTGGTATTCAAATTAGCACTGCCAGTGTGAGGATGGTACTGCTCTAGAAACTAATGACTAATTACTTCCAGTGTAATTTTTGGGGAAAAGCATTGGAGGCTTGACAAACCAATGGATTTGGTGCAGCAAAACAACTATACAATAGAACTAGCCACTGACAAATTATTTTAGAATATAGGAATTTGGTGACAATATACATTAGCTGAGCATTTATTAATTGATTGTTTAAAGTGAAAAATAATCAACCTAAAAATGTAAAAAACTTTCAAAAAGACAAAACCTTATTAATTTATTTAGACTTGAGATACTATCCACTTTATTTAAAAGAAATCATATCTGATTTTTTTATCTGCTGTAGTTACAAGTAACGCGTAATACCACTATAACTGGAAGAGACTGTACTCTTCACTACTTTTGTTATAAATCTTGTGCACTTAATAGCAGTGTGTATATATAACTTTACTGTTCTCCCCTGTATAGTCAATGTGCAAGGTCTTTCAGAGAAGGAGAGAAAACCATTGAAAAAATAGGGAAGTGAAATTGTCCCACAACGATTGGTAGGGGATCTTGGGGGGCTCGTGTTAACACCAAAAATTATTCACCTTGATGTATTTTAACTGACTAGATTTCAAGGGTAATGGTGCCTCTAAAAATCCCATATTTGAGATGGGGATATGAAAGAAAAATTTACAATGATGGTGACACTTAAAAGACTTACTGTAAATTAAGGAACTACTTTTTGCAAGAGTTATTTACAACTCACCTAACACACAGCATTTGTAATATGCTAACAAAACGTAGGTTAAAATATTTTTAATGTTTGGCAATAGACTCATAAAACATTACATTTAATTTGCTTTACAATTAATGCTATTAATTTTTTGCATGTCCTTTTCCTGTGACAATGAAAATAAACTTGTAATTTATGCGTTTGCTCATATGCAGTTTTACTCTTATTGAATGACAGGACAGAGGATGTGGGGAGGTAGGAGAATGAAGGTCATAGGTGTGGAAAGTGCTGGATTGAGCCTCACCCTACTTTCTTCACCTAGGTTTGGGCAAAAACTGAGTCAAGTCCGAGAGTAAGGCTCTAATCTTAAATAGGGTAGAGATGTTTGGGGGTGTCCTTACCCCCAAACCCCCAAAACAAAATGAAAAATTGACACCCCACACACTTTTTGGTTTTGTTTCAATAGATTTTTATTGGTGTGAAAGAGAAAGCAATAGTGACATGGCAACATTTATTTACGGTACTTTTGTTTATACAGTAAAAGTCCATGAAGTCCTTTCATCTTTTGTCTATACATTATTCTGGCCCATTCCAACAATTCAAGAAGTTATTCAATAAAAAAATCTTTCATTAGTAATCTATTTTAATTCTGGTTCTACCTAGTCTCTAACTTTCTAAACTCCAAATGAATAGAAAGATTAAAGAAAGAAATTTGAGAGACAGTTTGCAGGGAACAAGTGTAACAGAAATCCTATTTCTCAGCAGCAGGAACACAGCTCAAAGCAAATGCAGTGAACAGTGTTGTATTTCTCAAATGTATTGTATAATAGGCTGCTAGTGAACATACATGTAACCTAAACGCTCTGATTGTTCAGACCCCTGTCTTCTAAGAGGGGTATCATCTCTCAGCAACAAGGAAACTTTCCAATTTCAGTTTTACCCTTTTTACTAAAGGCAAATAAAATTAAATTTCATTTCAGCAGGAAATAAAATTAAAGTGCACTAACATGATTTTCTCCAGGATATGTTCACACATTAATAAACCAGCACTAATTACAGCATGAGCATCCATAAGCCTTTGTTCTCAGAAATGTGATTGGAAGTTCTAACCACCGCTACCAATTCTGGAAAGTAGTTCTGAATAGTGGAATTAATAGTTTGGGAACAATTTTAAGATAGAAATCAACCCCAATGATTAGAGATCAGTCCAGTAGACATAGGATCAACATCTTTCATGTCCATTGTGAAATTTACATCATATGTTTTGCCACTCTGTCATGAACCACTTTTCACGGAGGCTCCCAGCTCAAATTAT